ATCGTTGCCATAATTCATCTCATGGATCTTTCATAGGTCATATTAGTAATCTGAATTGTTCAGTGTTTGTACACCACATTTACTTCGATATACATAATGGGAATCAGGAACTGCTGTTATATGAGGATTACTCTGACAATGAATATCGTGTTTTACCATCAGTATCATTTCCAATTATTTGAGCATGACGTTTAGATCTTTCAAAGGCTGTTGTCTTGTAAAATTAAACTTCAGATTTAATTTCCCACTGTTGGGGAGGTTCGTTTTGACAACTGTCTTACCAATCAAATCCCTACAAACCAACAATTGAATATCAATGAGATACTCACTAGCGACTGGCCCCTATTCAGGTAGGTAGTTACCTGGGGTTCTAGTGAGAAGTCGTGACCAGTAGGGTGCAGCAGGTCGGGTATGAGGACAAATGCTCGCCGAAGACATTGGCTGGGGTCGCTCTATGTCGTGAATTGGCAGAAGTTAGAATTCGTGGGCCATTGATGGTTGGGGCGTACTGTGAAGAGTCCCAAACTAGGACGAAACAGCCGTCCAGTACTCCCAGCTGGTTTTCCAGTAGTTCTCTAACTAATGTCAGCTCATGATGAAAAATCTGTAACCAATCAAATCCCTACAAACCAACACATGAATGTCTTACTATTTGTTTGAACACTTGACTTTCAGTCACAAGCATGGATCCTGAGTCCTTCCTTACTTCCCCCCCCCTACTATATCTAAATAACGTAAATACATTATTTTTGGCACAGTGTGTCCTCAAGATAGCTGTACTATGCAAACCACCCATACTTATCAGCATACGTGATTGGACTGCCATCAAGCAGTAAGATATAATATTTACAAAATACGCACTTCAAGGTGAAATCACATTGGGTCACAATGTACGATGCTCCTGAAAACGCTAGCGACGTCAAGATTGATAGCATGAACAAGGAAAAGGTACATACTACCAACTGATATGAGAATTTGTAAGCCAAACATGCCACTGAATAGTAGGTGGAAGTAATTTAAACATCCTGGACCATTTTTATTTGTAACTACCTGATTTCATTTCCTATGCTGAGTCAGTCATAGGTTATAAGCAGACAACTGGGTGGGTGCCCTGTTATATTAACTTTGAATCATTCAGCAAACCGGATTTTAAGACTTCTTGTAGAATAGCAGATCTGTAAACACACTGTCTACTGAAGACCAAACTGTTCATTTGACTCTGGCTATCAATTGCTTCACTTTTCTGATATTTCATAACTATTAACTAAAGCTAAATTGATAATCCAATCAATACACACAATAAAGATAATTACTATATCACTATAAGTTACTTAACATGATTCCCAGTCTCCACTTTTTCCTTTTTTTCTTCCTCATGATTCTGTTTGTCTTTCTGTCGTTCTTTTTTCTGCAAATAACTTTTATCGATTTTTCCGTTTACAAAACATCATGTCATTGTTTTCATTATCTTTGTTGATAAAACATATCTAAGAAAAATATTATTACAAGGATATTTAAAGAAAGAAAAAAATTGAATGTTGACCTAGAAATTGTTTTCGCCAACAATTATTTACGTCAACTTATAATATTTGAAACACAGATAAGACTTAGAAGTGCGCGCGCGCGAGAGAGAGAGAGAGGGAAGTATGGCTTATAGTCGCTCTTTTAACCCCGCCACCATTGCTTTTGTTCGCCCTGTCCGTTTACAGTTGGACTGTGCATGTCGTTAGGGTTGTTTGTTTGCTTGATTGTTTGTGCTGCTTATCTGTTTGTAGTCAGCGTTGAAATGTTTGATTTGTTTATCGTAGAGCAGGTTGGTGGTTCAGCGGTAAAATAATTTACTTACCTCGTACGTGGCCTATGTTCGACTCCCGGCCGACTCAACACCACTACTGAGACTCCGAAGCTTAAAATCATATCAAATATTAAGACTTCTTGGAAATGGGTGGTTTCTCACTATACTGTAAGCATAATTTTACATGTCTGGAAATAATCGGTAGGAAGCTGTGGACCTAAGTTTCGTGCTTATTGGCACCACGATGGCGTGGCCACATTGCACATTTGACTGACAGAATTTCGTCAGCATCAGTACCAAGGATCGGTCGCGTGATATTGGTTACTCCTTCTTCACCAATCAATGTATTCACATATTATGAACCTCTCATTGCAGTCTTACTATCTCCTGTTTAACACAGACCACTTTGTACTAGCCACTCACCTGACACCTTTTATAACCTTGAACTGATTTGTCAATTTTCCTACCCCACACTCTACAAATCTATAATGATTAATCACCACCATTGTCTCGCGGTTTACAATATTTTGTAATCGATTTCAGCCTAGCACGTTTGTTACACAAATACGACTATTTATTTTGACACCCCATAACTAATCTGTTATTCTACGTATAAATGTATCCGCCGCATAACTTGTCATTATTTTAACGACAATAAATATCAAATTTTATAATTGTAAGAACCTGAAGGAAATTATTGAAAAGAATATTCTTCGTTCAGATTGACTTTCAATCATTGTATGATAAGAGTTAATCGGTAGAAAGGTTTTCACAGTGTGAATTTTGTTCTTGATGGCTTTAGCTTGTGAGCAGTGACTGCAACGTTTAGAAAGCTCATGTTTCCAACATCTGGAAACATGTCTGCATCATTCATTGTCATAGTTGGAAACGTTTTCAATAAAGTGTCCAGATCACGAGTCATACTTTGTAGATGGGTATTATATATACGAGTTACTCACCGGAATGGGACCGATTCAGCTGTCAGAAGACATCACACCAGTGCCAGCATGCATATATTTAAGCCTGGGTCCAATGCTTCCTATCGACTGACCTTTTCACACAACACCAAAACGGAAGTGAACAACAGTATTTAATCGAGTTGGATTATGAACCGACATCACTTAGAGAGCTATTTGAAAACCAGAAAATACTTGACAGCTGTTTCGTTGTAGTTTAGGACTCTTCATCAGAACGCACCCATCACCCTACTAGGGGTCGAACTCAGAACCTTTTCCTCACAAGGTGAAATCGTTTATCATTCAGCCATTGGGACGGAATTCACTGGTCCATAAACTCTAATTTCTAGTAATTCGCGGTAAGTAACGTCTTTATCAACCACTGTCGTCGGCAAGTATTTATCCATACACACACACACACACACACCGACATTGTAGACCCTACTGGTGGTCACCACTTCTCACTGAAACTCCAGGCAATCTATCCTGTAGTATCTGACTAGTGAGCATTACTACAATAATTGTGAAGTGTTAGTGTGTTTACAAGGATTTGATTGATATGATGTTAGTTCACGTTTTTTATCACCTGACTTAGAGAGAACACAATTCACGCGTGCGTAATCGATAGATGTAAACTAAGACTTAAGAACAGACAGTCACATTCATTACCGACTGTTTCGTTTTAAATTAATGCTTTGGTTAAATTGATCTCTTGGCTCTAATTGACTTTTAATTGAATTTTCGATTTTCCCGTCGATTGATTGGACCGAAATGCTCGGTGTCAGGTTGACATGTCGGGTTCTTGTGCAGATGTTTCGACAATGTCTGGGCATTTAATTAGAGTTTAATTTGTGGATGGTGACTAGCAGTGGAATCCAGGATGCATATTTCGTCCTATTTGGGACTCGCCAACTGGATACACCTGCTTTCCCCAAGGAGTGATGATGTTCCCACCGAGGCTCGAACCCAGTGCTCATATTTTCAGATGCCAAAGCGTTATCCACTAGACCATTTGGGCCCGGACATCGTTGAAGCATCTGCACAAGAAGCCGACATTTCAACCTGAGACCGAGCACTTCGATCCAATCAATCAACGGGAAATCTAAAATTCAATTAAAATTAATATGACCCGTTGCTCATGAGGTGGCTCTCATGGCCCAAGTGGTCTAGTGGATAACGCTTTGGCGTTTGAAACTATGGTCACTGGGTTCGAGCCTCAGTGGGAATATCATCACTCACTGAGAAATGCAGGTGCATCCAGATGATGAGTCCCAAATAGGATGAAATGCGCATCCCGGATCCCACTGCTAGTCACCATCCACAAATTAAATTCTAATTGACTTCTTTTTATGTGTACTTTAAATTGATATTCGCTTTTCAATCTTCCTGTAGCATTTTATCATATCTTCAGAAATCATGTGTTGTGCTTTAGATGACACAGATATGCCTTCCCTATATCTATACGAAAACAAGTAACTGTTGTAGAGGCATGTCAGAAATCCCTGTCGTTTAGTTTTCGTAGTATGTCGATAAACACTTTGCCTCTACTAAACACCGTGACATGTGATCAATGAGACTTCTTTTTGCAGTTTCTGTTTGATAGTCTCATGCTCTTTTTAGTACATGAACTCACCGATCCATAACATGGAAATTACTACGCCACACAACCGAGGTTTGAATCATTGAACATTTAAAAAAGTGACGATTTAACCGTAGGCAAGACATGTTAGTAGATGATATTAAGCACACGGCTATTTTTTTGTCCTTCACGTTCCCCAGTGGAACATAGGGCTTCAAGCTAGACACCTGAAGTTTCAGTAACAGTGATTATTTTATAGGATGAAGTTGCTAGCCTCATGCCCAACCCTTCCTCTTTGCCAGGATTATTTCTGGCTTAGCGAGGTAAAGGAGTGCACCGGCCGGGGATCGAACCCCAGATCATGTGTATAGTCGGCGAGCGTCCTAACCGCTATGCCACCGACGCACGGCCACTGGACAGTATTATTTTTGTTTGGAAAAACATTCATCTCATATATCGATATCTGTATTGTTTTCTCCGTTTTGATGGCTAAATTCTCATCAGAACTGACTGACTGATCACAAAGTACTTCACTTTATTTTGCTATTTCTATTTTTGTGAGTTAGAGTGATGTACCATAAGTGTTGTTTTACTGAATTATTATTGATTTCTAACATATTGTTTTTATTTTTTTGTATTTCTCTTCAATCGATATTCTATCGATTTTTAGTATATTTGGCCATTACCATTCCCCTATCCAAAGAATTATTCCTGGACGCCAATTATCATCTCTAGTAATCCATCAATGAATATTATATGTCAACATAATGAATATGAAAAATCTTTAAAGATGGACTGTCAACATTTGACATCAAAAATCAATCATAAATTTATGAAATTATCAAATTTCTATCAGAATCATATCAAAAATAAATCTTCGCTCATGAGTGGTGGTGGTGGCGGTGCTGCTAGTACACAAGAGGCTGGTGATAATACTGGCGAAAAAGCTGGAGTTGGCGTTAGAGAAGATAAGACATTCGAACATTCAATGGAATTGTTAGACGTCAATTATCCGAATTCATTTTTAGAGGAAATTCGTAATATTTGCCAGTTCACATCACCACCCCTTCCGCCAGCGTCAGCAGTGAAAGTGGGAGCGGCAAAGGAACAAGTGATTTGTCAGTGTAGTTTCTTTCGCCAGCTAATCAATAATCGTTTACATGAAATTCAGTCACGCCTTATCTATGGTGATCACCTGACTTTGGTTATGATTGAACAGATACTGTTCGATTTGTTCGAAATTAAATTTCCTGATCATAAGGTGAGTATATCGATTGCCCTGTTGTTTATCTTCTCTTGAAGGTCCTAGATTGTAGATGTTTAAGAGTTGCATGTGTCTTACTACCTTGATGAAATGCATTATATGGATAATAAAGATGGAAATACTTACAGGTCTCATTAAATCGAGCAAATTTTATTGTAATTCTCTGAGAGTTCATAGGTCAGTAACCTTTACGGCTGCTCACTATGATTCCATTACTATTGGATTTTATGCTTATAGAAATTCTGGAATCATTATTCCTACTCACCCCGCGTTTTTATCTTTATCGACGAAACATCTTCCTACTGTCGTTATGCTGATGAAACATTTATAGTGTGCAAAAATGAAAGTCATGCTTCACATTTACTAAGATTATTCAATGATGCACAGGCCAATATTGAGTTCACTATTGAACATGAAAGTGATGGAAAGTTTCACTTCCTTGACATCGCCATGGAACACCTAGAAGACGGTAGTCTTCAAAAGTCAATTTATGGAAAGCCCACATGGAAAGGACAATACTTGCATTTTAATAGCTTTTGTCCAAATAGCTTTAAACGTGGTCTAGTCAAGACTCTGTACTATAGAGCGAGGAGAATATGCTCTATAGAGAAACTAGAGGAGGAGTTTGAGTTCCTTGAAAAGATATTGAAGAGCAATGGGTATACTCAAAGGTTCATCAACAAGTATGGAAGACCTGAAGTCACAAATGTAAAACAAATTACAGCGGGGAAAAAGCCAGTCCACATTCAGCTTGATTATAAAGGTGAAAACATTGCAATGATGATCAACAGAAGGCTGAGTACATCACTAGCCATAGCCTATCCTGCAGCTAAGCTCGTTCCTGTCTATCGAACAACTTGCTGTTTGGTGCAATCAAAAATCGATAAATATCCTTCTCATGTTAACCCCAACTGTATATATAAATTTACATGTACCTGCGGGAGCAGTTACATTGGAAGGACAGAAAGAAGGGCATATCTACGATTTTCTGAACATGTACCAAAAGCTTGCGTCCTAAGGGAACAAATGCTTTAAACAATGCCATCGCCAGGCATCTCCTCGACACGGGTCATCAGGTGGACGTCGAAAAGTTGTTCAAAATTACCAATAGGAAAAAGGGCTCAGCTCTCCTCAAGTCTGCTGAAGCTATTTCCATCAAGCGCCTGAAACCTGATTTATGCGTCCAGAAAGAAGCGGTTATCAGTCTTTCTTTGCCCTGGTAACTGGATATTTTCACCTCTCTTTCTTCCGAATGCGAAATGCTAAAAGTTTCCATTGTGTATGATTATTATTGTTCGGAATAGTGTTTAATATTGCATATATATATATATATATATATATATATATATATATATAAAGTCTACAACGATAGCAATCACAGAGTGATGTTTCTTCTCGTACTGTTGAAATACCATATATGTGGGACTAATATGAAGACCCGACGGAATTTCAAGAAGGTCATTCTTTAGGAAAACTACTTGGAACGGTCAACTAACAAGTTTCTCTACAGTTGAGTGACTGTTGGATGAAAAAATTCAGTTAAATCCCTTACCACTCGGATCCAACGCACCTACAGTCCTGATACCCTAAAAAACAGAACTGAAACTTCTGAAAGAAGTCTTCATACAAAATGGTTACACATCTGTATTCATCAACTTCAGTCTCAAACCAAAAGTCCAGAGAGACGAAACATCGGTTGTCTCAGAACAGAAACTTTACATTAACAGGGATTTCAAGGGTGACTCAGCATGCAGCATCTTTGAGAATAACATTCTTCTCATCAACACTAAGAGTTAGTGTTCTCTAGTCGTCCATTGGTCTACAGTAACCTTAAGGACAAGATTTCGCTTATGACCATTTCTATGTACATATATCAGTTCACCTATTTTTGCGGGGCCAGGTTTATTGGTCGTTCGATACGGATCCTTTCTAAAAAGATTCGGGAACACCACCTTGCATGGTTGCAGAAGATAAGATAAGATAATAGCTTTATTCCAAATCAGTACTTGTGATAGAGAAGCTCTAAAAAGAGTGAGATAATCGAACTTCTTGTTAACACTGGTCATTCCATCTAAACAAATGTCTCCTTCAAAGTGATCTACAAAGTGAAGAACAACCCCCCTGAAGGCAATATGCTTTCGTCTTCTTTGCTTTGCTGAGGCTCTATCCATTCAGATAGAAAATTATTCAACCATTTCTAGTATCATGGTAACAACTGTGTTGATTGATTTCCGTTGACTTGATTTTTGTTTATTTGCTTTTCTAACCCCTTTTAACTCTTGTATCTCTTTAGCACTCTTAAACGATTCTATATTTTCTTTCGTTTCTATGTTCATTCTGATTACAGCTCATTCATTAAATTATTCATCTTATTACGTGACCCTTATGCTTCGGTGGTTCGGCGGCAGAGAATACCTGCCAACCACTCATGTGGTCCGAAGTTCGACTCCCGATGTCATACTCCTAAACCTCTCTAAGTTCGGTGGTAAGGCCGTTGTTAATGGGGGTATAAAGCCAACAGTCCAGCCTCGTAAGAATAGGATCCGTGCCAATGAAACTTCGAAGCTCTAGCTTGAAGCCCTATGTCCCGCTCGGAACGTAAAAGAATAAAATAATAATACTAATTGAAAATAACTCCTCTTATACATTGACTAATATTCACAACTATGCTTGTGACAACTCCATCACTTTTTTACCACTCTCCCTTATGAAAAATTGTACATAAATGCGATTGTACAGTTAAAGGCGGAAATGAATTCACCGAAAATAGCCTCTCTGTTGAACTATATGTTTTGTTTTCGTTAATGTCTCGATGAGCAGGGAAACTATTCATGAAAGTCTAATTTTATCAGAAATTCATAAAAATTAATAACTTGTTACTCACAGTACTAATGAGAATAGCAATAAAAAAGCTAAATTATTGATTTTTAAACGAAATTTCCTAGACTCTTTATGTTTAGTAGTAGTGTACTACCATAATAAATTATTTCACTGTATACTATGATGTTTACACAGTTTTTGTTTAAACTTTAATAATGACACTCACACTTCTTAACCAACCTCACGTCTTTTACATTAAACAACTGATAGTAATGTGAATGTGGTTAATAGTTAAATTGGCATTATAAATTACTCCACAATTTTATTAGAGTCTGCATTCATTGAATTTATTGTCTACGATTATTATTATTATCATTATTATTATTATTAAAATCGGAAATCTATTATTGATCTATAGCGCACACACACACACACACACACACAAACATACATACTTCACTGAATTACTCATCAATTTAAGTAAGCAAAATATCATGTTTTTGTAAAAATAATTGATAAGTCGAATAATACCAAATATATATACTATATATATATATATATATATATATATTGAAATCATATTCCCACTGATTGTTTATTGATTTTAATATTTTATACAGTTAGAACTGAATAACCTTTAGGCCATTTAATTGAACTTAGATTTTCCCGTCGATTGATTGAACCGAAGTGCTCGGTCTCAGGTTGACATGTCGGCTTCTTTTGCAAATGCTTTGACAATGTCTGGGCATGCTAGTCACCATCCACCAGTTAAATTCTAACTAAATGCCCAGAAATCGTCGAAGTATCTGCACAAGAAGCCGACATGTCAGCCTGAGACCGTGCACTTCGCTCCCCAGTCAATCGACGGGAAAATTTAAAATTCAATTAAATAATTAATATGACCCGTTGCACAAGAGGTGGCTCTCGTGGATAACGCTTTGGCGTTTGAAACTATGGCCACTGCGTTCGAGCCTCGGTGGGAACATCATTACTCACTGGAGAATGCAGATACATCCAGTGACGAGTCCCAAGTGGGACAAAATGCGCACTATCTTGGATTCCACTGGTTTTCACCACCCACCAATTAAATATCTTTAGGTTATGTTTGGTATTATTACCAATTATTTTCATGATTTAATGTCATTTATGTCTTGGTGGCGGTTAATGTTGGAGTCATAGATTCGCGTTTCACTCCACATCATAACTGACTCATCAGTTGGACATAATTGTCTTTGTAAAAGATCGGACTCAATTATTTGATAAAACGGTAAGGTTGGAATAATGAACCCTTGAGTATAGAATTTTTTATACTGGTTTATTTAGTGGGAATTGTAATCATTTTTGTAGACGAAAATGTAACATTTTATTCTTTTACTTTCCCAGTGGAACATAAGGTTTCAAGCTAGAGGCTTAAAGTTTCGGTAACAGTGGTGTTTATTTTTATAGGATGGGGCTGCTAGCCTCATGCCCAATCTCCCTTTTTACCGATTATATTAATGGCTTAGAGAGGTAAAGGAGTATTATTAATTATTTCCTTTAATTCCTAGAGGAACATAGGGCTTCAGCCGCCCAAGTCTCCATTGCGTCCGGTTCTCTGCCAACGTTTTCACCCCGCTCCAAGTATGCCCACACGCTTTCATCTCCTCTTCACATCACCTCATGCAAGTCACCCCACCATCGCACTGACGACCAACTCGCCGATTCCCTTTCGGGTTCCACTCGAGCAATGGCTTGTCTAGTGATGTCGCTTGATACCGTGTTTTCTCAGAGTATGGCCAGCCAATCCATCTCCATTTCTTCCTGCCTATTTGTTTCACAATCGGTTCCTGCTGTGTTGGTTCGCTCATTGCCAGAGATCCCTGTTTCTGATCTTTTCTGGCCGGCCATCTGATCTTGAACGAAGTATTGAGCGAAGACAACTGTTAGTGAAGGTCTATAGTTTGTTTGAAATTCTCTTTACGACGCGCTGGCCAAGTCCTGATCTGTATAGTGAGTAGCACTGACTGACTTCACATTGGAGTTGAAAATCCGGATGTTATTTTTGATGGTGAGTGCTGTTGACCTTCACACAGACTTGAGAGTAATGAAAGCTTGTCTTGCCTTTCCGATTCTGGCTTTGATATCCGTCCGCCTGTAGTCGAAACGATGTTTCCCAGGTAGGTGAAGGAGGTTGTTTCTTTCAGGTTCCTCCCATGTATGCCGGCTGATTGTTGTCTGTTGTTGTCGCTATTGCTGTTGTTGGCCAGGAATCTCCATCATCTCTGTTTTCTCTATGTTCACCTGAAGTCCTATCTTTAATGCTTCTTCTTCCAGCTTGTTGCTTTTTACATGCATATCTTCCAGTTTGTTTCGACGAAGTCGAGATCCTCCACGTTCTTTGTGTGAGTCAATTTTATACCTGTTTACTCATTGCCCGTTGTCTGTCTCATTATCCAATCTACTGCAATCAGGAAGATCATTGACGATAGTAGACAGCTTTGCCGCACTCCCGTCCTCACTTCGAAGGCTTCCGTAAGTTTCCCGTTGGGGATTACTTGGCATGCAGCATTGTCGTGTAACTGTCGGATGAGATGTATAATTGTCGATGGCATCCCATAGTAGTGAAGTAGTTGCTAAATCACCTCTCGATCGACGCTCTCAGCTGAAGGCCTTTTCAAAGTCGATGAAGTTGAGTGAGGTGGAGAGGTGACTGCCATTCCAAGCTCTGTTCATTGATGATCCGTAAAGTGGCGATTTGATCAAAACATGACTTGTTTTTCCTGAATCCAGCTTGTTCCGGTCGAAGTTTTTCATCCAGGTTGGCGTGTTTGATTCTCCCCAGGATGATGCGGCTTAGTATATTTCTTGGGATAGAGAGGAGTATAATTCCGCACCAGTTCTTGCATTGACTTAAGTCCCCTTTCTTTGGCAGTTTGAATGAGTAAAGGAGTGAGTCGGCAATATTTTGAACATCCAGCTGTTAATCAATATTTAATTACAAGCGAAAATTTCATCTGAGATCGCTAATCGGGGTGATTCATACAGCTAGTCTCTAGGATACTGCCGGCTAACTCTTATCACTAGTATATATACCATCGTCATATTTATAAGACTGTGAGTTACGCAATCAGGATGTTAACAAACGACCAGTGAATTATGGCAGATCTATGTACTGAAATTGTTACCAATTTCTGAAATTTTGAGTTTGCTCTACTGGGAACCTAAAACTACAGGTACAGTGTTAATTCTTGTGTGATAAATACTTAGCAGACGTATAGTATGAAGTGTGTATAATAATTATTTTGTTTAGTTGCAGGATTTCATCATGAGCTGATATTGGTTAGAGAACCATTGGAAAACCTGGAAGTACTGGTCAGCTTTTTCGTCCTAGTCTGGGGCTCTTCAGCAGTACGCACCCACAAGGGTTCGAACCCAGGACCTTCTGGTCACAAGATGAGCTCGTAGACCATTAAGCCCCTGGGACCCGATCCCATGGCCCTATATCCTGTAACCAACCAAATCCCTACAAACCAAAACTTAAATTAGCTTGTTCGTCTATTGTTCAATATTTCTGCGCTCTGATAGGTTATTCTTGACTCTGTAGATTACTTTGAAGGAGGCGTTTGTTGAAATGAAATGATCAGTGTTAATCAAGTGTTCAATTATCGCACTCCTTATTCTACCACTATTGCCTTTTCGCAACCATGCTGGATAGTGTTCTTAAATCCTCTTAGACAGGATGCGCGTCGAACGACTGAAGTACCTGGCTACACAGCAGTAGGTGAACTGATATATGCACATAGAAGTGACCAGATGCGGGATCTTGTCCTTGAGGCTTCTGCAGATCAGTGGGCGACTGGAGATACTCTTAGCGCTGCTGCAAAGAATGTTCTTCCCAGAGATGATGTGATCCTTCTCTTGAGAATATCACTTGCTAAATCTCCCTTGAAATCCAAGTTCATGTAGAGTTCCTTTTAAGCGCAATTAAAGTTTCGTTTCTCCGAATTATTGGTTTCATATTTTTGTCGATGAATCTCAATGGGTATCCATTTCGGATGAAGATTTCTCTCAGAATATCTAATTCTGTTTTCACAACGTCTGGACTACAGATGCGTCGGATGCGGGTGGCAAAGGATTTAACTAAATTCCGCTTTTGTTGAATGGGTACCCAGCTATAGAAGTTTGTTAGTTGACCATTCCATGTAGGTTTTCTATGGATTGATCTCCTTAGGCTCCCATCAGTTCTTCTTGTTAGTTCCACATCAAGATTTAATCAATGGTGATTTAATCAATGTGAGGTTTTCAGTGTTAGCATTCAAAGAGAGATGGGTGGAGAGAAGGTGGGGGAAATAGAGTTGTAACTTGCTGAGAATGAATTTGCATTCAGATTCATTTATTTAATAGAGATACATATCCTGTCTGTAGATATCGTTAAAGCCACCATAAACAATCATTCTTCAATCAATTTTTTTTCCATATCACTTCCAACTTGTAGTTGCGCTAAGTAATATAATTTAAAGACATGTTTGTGATTTTCTACAGCGGTAGTTTCAATTATTCCGGCGCTCTTTCTTTTTGCAAAAATTTCGGTGTTAGTCTAAGCACCAGTTGCAATGAATCTTCTGTCCCCATTTTGAGTGATCGATATTATCTTTTAAGTAAGGTACCTTAGCACTTTTTAACATTCGAACAAAGTATTAAATTGAATGATGTATCTGTAAAGAAAGACTTGATAATCAAAACTGAACGAAAATATCTCTAATTTCCGCGATACTACTAATAAGTAACATAAGTTTCAATGCGTAATTTTCAGACTATTTGGAAACTAGGTGTGAGTAGTAGTCAGGACCTTATGTAATTTTTAGTTAATTTTCATTTCCTATTGGTTGATAGAGTTGGACCGGGTAATCGGTTTCTTTTGACATGATACAGACACCTCGACGGAATATTTTAGGATTAATGCTGTCTTACTTCAGTTGGTGGTGGTGACTAGCAGTGAAATCCACTTAGACCCACTTAGTCTATGAACCTGCACCCATTCTTTCATGCATCAAAGCGAGTCTTAGTGGAAACACTATTACCCACTTGGGAATGCAGGTACATTCGGTTGAGCAGTCCCAAATTGAATGAAATGCTCATCCTAGATTCCACTACTAGACATTATCAACCAAAATAATTTATACATTTGTCGTTACTCACCATCACTTACTTTTAATATCCGCGGTTCGATTTACCGCCACATCTGTGCATAGTACCACGTGCAGCCATATTTTGAACAGTAATCTATTGCGAATCTATTTATCACATGTCGCTGTTGGAATTTTTATGTCAGTAATTCGATGTTATTTAGAAAAAAACATTAGTGTTCTTTAACTATTACGTATTATGCACAACTGTAGAACCTGAAGTAGTGAGTGCTATCGAAAAGAATCATTCTTCCCTTCACTAATCAGTTATTTGAAATTTTTCTTTGCTTGTAGATACTGACAACTGATTCACAACTGGATAAACTATGGATGGATATTTATAGTGAATGTATTAAGTATTTACGAAATGGTTTTCTCAAATGTCTATGCACTATATTAACAAATGATCCGTCTACACAAACACCCAATAATATACCGGCATCACAATATCCCAATGAATTTGATATTCCAGGCAGTAAAGGTTTCAATGAACGTTGGCATAATAAACTGAAGATTGATAGATTGGTTCGCAATTCATCTGAATCAGAGAAGCAATTCTTATTTCTTATTCATTTGATTGTAGGTTGAAAAAATATTGAAAATTTTCCATTTTCCTGTAAACCAAAATAGTTTTTTGTGTATTTGTCTTTAACGGACACTTTTCTTGTGTTGACCTAGTGGAAATTTGATTGTTTTCAGGGTTGATATGTTGTAAGAGAGTGAATCGATTGATGAAATGGCTAGAACACTTGTTGTGTATCCCCCAAGGCAACGTTTTCATTGGCGGCAATTTTCACCGACATGGGACTAGGTTGAAAAAGAGTTGGGAGTATTGTATTTATTATTATTTCCTTTAATTCCTAGAGGAACATAGGGCTTCAGCCGCCCAAGTCTCCATTGCGTCCGGTTCTCTGCCAACGTTTTCACCCCGCTCCAAGTATGCCCACACGCTTTCATCTCCTCTTCACATCACCTCATGCAAGTCACCCCACCATCGCACTGACGACCAACTCGCCGATTCCCTTTCGGGTTCCACTCGAGCAATGGCTTGTCTAGTGATGTCGCTTGATACCGTGTTTTCTCAGAGTATGGCCAGCCAATCCATCTCCATTTCTTCCTGCCTATTTGTTTCACAATCGGTTCCTGCTGTGTTGGTTCGCTCATTGCCAGAGATCCCTGTTTCTGATCTTTTCTGGCCGGCCATCTGATCTTGAACGAAGTATTGAGCGAAGACAACTGTTAGTGAAGGTCTATAGTTTGTTTGAAATTCTCTTTACGACGCGCTGGCCAAGTCCCTGATCTGTATAGTGAGTAGCACTGACTGACTTCACATTGGAGTTGAAAATCCGGATGTTATTTTTGATGGTGAGTGCTGTTGACCTTCACACAGACTTGAGAGTAATGAAAGCTTGTCTTACTTTCCCGATCCTCGCTTTGACATCCTCGTCAGTTCCGTACGCCTGTAGTCGAAACGATATTTCCCAGGTAGGTAGGTGAAGGAGGTTGTTTCTTTCAGGTTCCTACCATTTATGCTGATTGGGAGGAAAGGTTGAAAAAGAGTTGGAGTGGTGAAACCGAAACCTTGCCATCAGTTTATGAAATGTTTAACTGTTGGTTTCAGCAAGCCACGTAGGTAGATGTAGGCTGCCTTGTTGAAGCTCTCAGGATGCTAAGGATTAATAGAGTTGAATGGAATTTGTGATATGCTTCAAACTCGTTGTCAATGGCGCAGATGCATTCACTCTTTGCTTATATCCACTAACTGTCATGATTTTCCACGTTTCTACCTTTTTGAATCTCTTTTTTGTCTGCCTTTGTGTACTACATGCAGTGTAGCCAGTGGAACTGGTGCACTTCTGTGCAAAGTTCTGTCTAAACTAAGTCAGTGAGTGTCAATCAGTTCAACAATGGTCTAGTCCTGAGATCATAGGTGTGTATTTCTGAAGAGTCATTTACTAGGAAAAAACAATTGTTCACTACTCCCTGATGTTCATACGTTCTCTAACTGATGTCTATTCATGACTTAGTCTATCTTGAGAAGATTTTCTGATTATTTTAGCTGACTACTGCTGGGGACAGCTAATTTTCATTTTACCGAACACTTTGGATCTCTCCACTAATAGTGATATTCATTCTTTCCAGGGTTTTGTATACAACCGCATAGATAGATAAATAGATAAAATGATCACTGGAAAATTTTGTTACCTGATGTAGGAGAATGGTATGCGAAAATTAATTGATTTGGCACATCATACCCACAGACAGTATCATACATGCATAAGATCAGTGATTCTGCGTCAATCCATTCCCTGCCAGTAAAAACAAAAACACTCAATGTTGTCATTTAAACACAAAAATTCACATCAGGGAATATCGATTTTGATGATGAGTATTAAATGTAGTATATTTGTAAGCGAATGATTATTTTATTGCTTTTCGGTCATTAATCAATGATTTCTGTCATCACGACAGCTCTACATCATACGTTTAAAAAATAAATATGAATTCTATTAGGTGACATACTTAGAAACATGTTTTTTTTGTTAATTCGCAGAGGCAGTGACATTTAAATTAAACGTAAATTTAATCGAAAACGCTTAATGAATTCGTACATCTACAAACTACTATTACTAACTGCTACGACTATGACTACTGTCACTAGGCGTGTACTGAAGTGCTTGGTGAATTGATTGTCTGTCTCTTTGAAAACTATTCTCCTTGGTTTGAACTAGAATATTCGTGTAGCGGTAAAGGTCGATGAATGGATAATTGAGAAAGCATCAGCTGATTGACTTTAGACCAACAACAATAATATCGTGGATAAGCGAGCTAATCTCTCTGACACTGGATCGTTTCATCATTACTACTGTTGTTCCTTTGGGTTCTGAGTGGAACATCGAGATTCAGCCTTACATCCCCACTTTATCTTATTTTCTGCAATCCTCTTTAGGTGGGGTACCACGACTGCTTATAGTCTCTCACCTCCTCCTCGCATGATCTTCTCTATGTCACCCTCGGACGCCTGACTTGTTGCTCGGGTTCCACTCACGCTATTGGTATGGCACGAGATGTCATCTGGTGGTTTTCTCGGCGTGTGTCTTATCCATCTCTTTTTCCTTCGCATACTTGCTGGGCAATAGGTTCTTGATTGGTTGGTTCCAAGAGTATGAAGCTAGCGAAGGCAGTTGTAGATAAAAGTCTGCAGCAGGTTGCTGGAAAGGCTTTTCGTGACACGCCCTGTCTTAGATCCATATAGAAGAACTGACTGACTGGAAATCTCACTTTTGTTCTTTATGCTGGGCGCAGGAGATTTTCAAACCGATTTCAGAGTAATGAAGGTTTGTCTCGCCTTTCCGACATCCTCACTTTTGCCGACTGTCTGTATGCGAAACGATACTGCCTAGCCAGATAAGTGAAGGAAGTGACCTCTTTCAAACTTCACCCTTTCGCAGTAATTGGAGCTTGTTGTTTGTGTTGTTCGTTGGTTGGTTGGTTGGTTGATTATCTTCATCACATCCGTCTTCTCTGTGTTCATTTGAATTCCTGTTTTTGCTTCCTGCCTCTTTTACCAGTTTGTTGGTTTCCGCCTGTAAGTCTTCGAGTCTGTTTGACATTATACTTAGATCACCCACGAAGTCCATATCTTCCATAGTCTTCTTATCGCCAGCTCAGTGTATTCTTGTTCGTTCGCTCCCCACTCACGGTGTTCCACAAATTCGAGTCCATCACAATGACGAATATCATTGGGGATAATAAGCAGGCACTTTTGTCTAACTCCTGTATTCACTTCAAACGCCTCACTGAGTTTTCCGTTATTGATCGATCACTACCTAACAGGTATCACTGTCATAAACCTGTTGAATGAGATTGATGAAGATTTGGGGCACTTCACTCCATAGTGTTGAAGTAGTTTCCAAATCACTTCGTGGTCTCAACCCTATAAAAAGCCTCTTCAAAGTCGATGAAACTGAGGTAGAGGTTTGACTGCCATTGTATGCTTTGTTCTGCGATGACGATGTGTACAGTTGCAATTTGACCAGCATCTATTCCTGAATCCATCTTGTTCTGGAGGGTGGAAATCTTCATCCAGTGCAACTTTTAGTCTCTCCAGGATGCTGCAACTTAGTATTTAACTTGGCATGGACAAGAGCATGGTTTCGCGTCAGTTATTAGAGATGCCTAAGTTTTCTTTATTTGGTAGTTTCACAAGGTAACGTAAGACATTCCTTTTTCCTCTTATACCATATATCGGTACTAGTTTGCAGTGGAAGTGTTCGAGTAAGTGGATCGCTCAACACTCTGATGTTCTAGCCTATCTAATGTATCTTAAAACAGGTTTAGTTGTGGGTAAGGAGAACATATACGGATCAGAGACTTGGCCAGCGCGTCGTAAAGAGAATCTCAAACAAACTATAGACCTTCATTAACACTTGTCTTGGCTCAATACTTCGTTCAAGATCAGATGGCCGGCAAGAAAAGACCAGAAACAGGGATCTCTGGCAATGAGCGAACCAACACAGCAGGAACCGATTGTGAAACAAATAGGCAGGAAGAAATGGAGATGGATTGGCTGGCCATACTCTGAGAAAACACGTCATCAAGCGACATCACTAGACAAGCCATTGCTCGAGTGGAACCCGAAAGGGAATCGGCGAGTTGGCCGTCAGTGCGATGGTGGGGTGACTCGGAGGAGGTGATGTGAAGAGGAGATGAAAGCGTGTGGGCATACTTGGAGCGTGGTGTAAACGTTGGCAGAGAACCGGACTCAATGGAGACTTGGGCGGCTGAAGCCCTATGTTCCTCTAGGAATCAAGGGAAATAATAACAATAAATAATAGTGAAAACATATCCTCACTTCTTTACTGAAATTAGCGTCCCATACATCATCTATAGTGAAACGAGAAGACTTATCAGTCCAATAATTCAGCAGCACAAACACCTTAACAACAAGTATCTTCTCGATGTGTCTCGACCACCACCTCATTGAGACTAAAGGTGGTCTCAATACAGTTGTTTTTTTACTACCCTAATAAATTCTAAATGTCCACTCAGTTTTTTTTAAAAATCATGTTGGGCTTTTTTTAATCTCTCGTGAAAAACAAACACAGGTTTTATTCAACTTATACGATACATGGCAGAATATTGTTCAGCTTGCCAGATTGACCGTCAACCCGAAAGAAACCTCCGTCTATAATCCTCTATTATTACAATGGGTTTTAACAACACGACCTAAACTTATCGATGTTATTCTCGCCTATCCAACAATTAAAGCATCACATAACTACCAGTGTAGTCAATGTGTTTGTAACAGTGTACTGGGCATATTATTGTCTGTCAATGAAGTTGAATTGAATAATCTGTTCAGAAAATTTACCAGTCACTCGGATTGTATCGACTATCTGATTATGGAGTCTGTGCAGAATCTAAGCGAGAAGATTAATTATTGTATACAGAAAATCGATAATCATCATACACATTTAAGAATTGTAAGTCCATGTTTTCCTCTTTTCTATGTGTGTCTGTATGCATGCATTATATCTTTCATTTTATTTACAGACAGAGATGTGTGGCTTGGATTAATGCCTTCCCACTGTCTGAAAATTAGTTTAAGACTAAGGACTTAGTGAACAGTTGTTTTGTTTTCATCTCTGCGCCACTCTGTACTATTTCTACAGAGGCTCTGGGATGAGTAAAACAACCTTTCCTGTTTTTGTGTCTCATACAATGTTGATAAATAATAAATGGAAATATTGAGGCTTAAATAATGTTTGACTCTGAAACTATCTGAGATAACTTTAGATTTCTTGTAGAATATTATAGATACGATGGTCTATGAATGATTGAGGGTGAAATGAAATGAAACTCTGGACTGTGCCGGGATTCGAACTAATGGCGTCTGACGCGCTCTAGCAGCTGATCGACCTATGCGATCCAATTGCTTACTAGGTCATCCATCATTTTATGACAATTGTCACAAATATTACCCTGGCTGCACTTGACTGAGTGATATGTTACCGTTCCGTTAGGACTTCTGTTAAGGATCCTAATCACACTAAATATTAGAAGAGGAGTAACAGGTTGTTACTTGGCGGTGGTGGGGGTGAGGCTATCTACAGTAGCCTTGGATTTAATCACCTGGTAGAGTACCAAATTATCAATTCAGAGGCTGTCGGTTCGAATCCCCTACTATGGCCCAGTTGTCCGTTTCACATTCAATCCTCACCCCTAATAAACCAATAATATTTATCAAGATAATCCTTGAAACATAGTGAAGATGTGTGGTTTTACGGATGAAAATCCATGAACTTTTATAAGTCTGTGTGTGTGTGTGTTTATAGTTCATGTTGCGATCTTCCTGACTAGGAGAACTAATTATCCGTAGATTGTCATTAGGTGTCCATTTTTCACTGAGATCTGAGGTCTAGAACAAGGCAGTTAATTTATTAATCCTTACTGAGACATAAAACAAAGATTTCCGCGACACAACCCTCTTTTTGCTACAATTCATTTACATATGGGGGGTTAAGATAAATTTAAAAAATGTGTTCGTTTATATATTCGTTACAATTTTGACAACTAGTGGAGATTTTGTTGTGAAATATGATAGTATTAGTTACAGTAACACATGACACACTTACAC